TTTCTAAGAGGTTTTTTTAAACTGAGAATGGTAGTTATAAAATGTGAGCTGCAAAGTGGACTTAAGATTTGAATCCTTCTTCACAAGTTAAGATTTTTTTACTCATAGTTAGATAAAGAGCAGTTAATGCAAATCCTTCTAGAAATTATTTTACTTTATTGAGCAGTGTTCTTTCTGTAATTTAAGAAATAACCAGCTTATGCATTTAACAATATTGCATGATATTAACTGCAAATTATGATTTTACTGAGTTTGTTTTTTTCAAAAACTATATATTGCTGCCAACTTAAACCAAAGTATTTCTTGGTTTTACCATGAACTCTTGTGTATATTCTACAGACAGGTGGCAACATTCAACAGTAACATCATTTCACCCATCCTTCCTACTCTGTGATTCCCACAGGCCAGGTTATCTTCCAGAACCTCCTTTTAATTGTAACAAAGAAATTTTCCTTAAAACTGATGCTATAGAATAGTCCCCTGTAATTTTTCATGTTATTTATATAATTTCCCTGGCAGCACACTGTGCTATTATATGCTATAAATCATATTTTATTTTGGAAAGAACTGCTGGTGGTGTTATTTTTAGGTCCAACTCTACTTCTGCTGATATCCAATCCAGCTAACAAAATAGCTGTAGGAACATTTAAAATCTCACATACAGTGTTGGGATGACATCCGTATTACGAATGTTTTGGGAACAGCCGTACTATAGGAGTAAAAAATACAGCAGTGACTAAAGAGAACGTGCCCTGAACATATACACAGCTGCACTTTTACACTACTGAGAAATGAGAAAGGGGATTTACTTTTCCTAAGCACTATTTCCATGGCCTTTTTCAGGCCAAGTAAATTGCCACAAATTACATTTACATGACATTTCAACCTACTTACAGTCAAATCCATTGGAAAATACAGTATCTGACACCAACAGGATTTTAAAGGTATGTTACATCACACAGAAGCCTGTAACTTCTATTTTTTTTCAAAGACCTAGAGTATACTTTTCTTTTACTGAGCTGTTATTACATAACCTAGAGTTGAATGCAGAAATGGGAAATTTAACCTTAGAAAAACTGCCTATTTTCTTCGTTTCATGCTTTAAAACGTTCATAACTGAGCAGTTAAAAATGGACCAGTAGAAAACAGTAGAACAGATCAAGTATTTTTACAGGGGTGCAAAGTCATTTAGTCAGTAAATAAAGGAAATTTGATCAACGAACCGGCAATGTGACATCTGGTGTACAGTTTCACAGTCTTAGGGCATCATTCTGCTCTCTCTGGTACCAGCAGGAACCAGGAGTAACTCATGTAAATTAAAAGCACACCCCAAAGTGGTGTGGAGTCAGGAGGAAGCACTCTGTGTCCCAGTCTGTGTCTTTCAGTGTTCCATACCTGACTTAAGAGATCGGCTCGTTTACAGAGCCCTACATTAGACATATTGCCTTCTTGTTTTAAAATATGTGTGTTTAATATTTAATTTAACAGAATTCCATATTCCAGTCCCTGTGTACTGTGCAAGTCCCTTTGAGGCTCGTGGTTTGTATGTGCAGTCACAATTCTCCTCAAGTGTAATTTGGAAGTACCATTGCCTAATGGAGTGAAAGGAATCCCAGTTCTCTTTGGAGTGAGTAATGAAAATAATGCCCAGCCAGTGTCAATTTGTAAAGTGGGCTGTAGGAGTTGAGCCAGGCTGTCCAAAACTCATTTAATTTATTATGTGTGGCTGTGGAATACTGGTGGAGGTACAGGTCTCATCAATTGTCCCCACACTTCAAGCACACACAGGCAATTTGAACTACCAACTTCAAATGACAACACATTCCAAAATTTTGCCAAGTCTGAAAAATCGGTATGCTACACACATAGCTATTGCACATGAGACTGAATTAGTATCATAAAATAGGTACTGTAAATGTAAAATGTGCCTGTGCTTATATTTTCACAGAAATACAAAAATTATTTTTAATTATGTTGTGCAGTCAAATACTGCATAGTATTTGCTGAGAGGAGAAACACATTGATAATATGCAAAAAAGTAATTCCAAAATTTAAAAAAGTGCTCACAGGTTTTGAACTTCTGATCTGTTGGGGAAAACCAAAGAAAATCTGAAGTTACCCAAGGCCAATAACAGCAGAATGAAAATAGCAGTTTAAATGGTACCTGGGTGACCATCTCAGCTCACTTGCAGGAGATCCTATTTTCAAGAACATTTGGCACATCTAGAATGTGGGATAGCTCTCTGAAGTAAAGAATATAAACATTAAAAGGTCATAAATAGTAGTACAGCTAAGTTATCCATTTAAATGGGAATGGGAAACTTTGCCATTTGGCTCTGAACCATTTTGTCATTCTGCATCCTAATGACAATTACATGTCCCATACTGATATTTCACTTTCAATTTTCATAGAATTAGTGATAGTATTTCAGGAGTTAACAGAGGCAGAGTACTTTCTTTAGCGAAGATATGAAATTAGATTAGAAATTAGATTGCCTTGAAAACATTATATGCAGCAAAATGTGCACTCAGAGAGCCTCCAGGAGCAATCCTCTAGGCATGGCTACTTGTGACTTGAGTTTAACTTTTCCACAACAAAGGAAAAAAAACAAAAAACCAAAATAACTCCAAAGATCTGTGGTGAGATTCTGCCATCTCCAAGAGACACAGCTCAAAACCACATAATCCAGGAGAAGTGAAATTGTTTCCAACACTTCCCATCCTCACAATCACAGGCTGGTTTGGTTTACAGCAGGGGGCTGTAAAATCCCCCTGGAACAACCCCGAGGGGACCAGCACCCAGATGGCAGCTGGACAGATGTGCTGCAGCCTTCCCCCACCCCAGGTTATCCCTCCTCAGCCCTGTGCCCAGCATGAGGACTCCAGACTTTGTCCTCAGACGGCATCTTTAAAGTACCTTTCACCATGTGCTACCAGGGGTATCGTCCCTTGGCCAGGAATAGAGCTTCTAAGGGCCTCTTTATGCCAATCTGATTCCTCTTATCTTACATAAGGGGCCAGGGCAGGGACAGAGCTCACTTTCTTAGCTCTAAATCTATCCTATATGGCACGCAATTCTCCAAAGTACAGCCAGCTTCTGCTTTTATGAAGCACTGTGCAGTGAAGAATGAAGGATCCTGTTTTTCACCATTTAAAGATGTATGATAGCAACAAAGCTCTATGTTAAAATATTTAACTCGCAGAGAACTTATGGAAATTGTCTATTCAAGCTCAGCAAAGACATTAAATTACCAAGCTGTTCTAGGACAGTTGTGTGTGGAGAAAAGCCAGAAATGCTCTGAGATTGTAATGTTGCTCACAAAGATTACAGCATGAGCCTGATTCAGAAGCTTTTTTATACAGCTTGGTGAGCTGCAAAATGTTACCATATCAATTTCTGCAAAACATACTGTGTGTGTACATATAGATATAAAAGCAGGACTTATACACAGCACATTTCCTGCCACGTTTTGAGTGGCATCTGTTTGTTTAGTGTGCTGAAATATGAAAAATAATATTTAGCAACTACTGGTAACACAATGTTAACAAGATTTAAGAGTATAGCTCTGTCTGTCAAAATGCAGATAAAAGACAAATCCTTCTATCTCTGTGTTTTAATCAGTCAGATCAGAGGTTTGATGAATATGCAAATGTGACTGTTTATACACTAGTTTCAGAGTGAAAGGAAACAAATTCAGTTTCATTATAGAATTAATGACAGCTCTGTCCTCTAAGATTAATAATTAAAGCCCTACACACATTAAGATGATAGTGCTCTTTCCAGCCAGCCTCTGCAGATTTTACTTTTCTATTTTTTAATACCCCTTTCCCTTATAATTGTTTGTCCCCCTAATTGGAATGATTAATAATTAATGCCAGTTCATGGATATGCAATAGTCATCTTTAGAACAAGAACTGTATTTAACCTACAAAAAGGGGTTAAAAAATGACTTCTTTTTTGATTCAGTTTTTACTCTTGTCTGTAAGTTATTTTTTTCCTCCAAGTTTTATGCCACCATAGGAATCTCAATGGCCTGCTTTAATGATGGAAGCCTTTTTATTTGTTTCAATGCAGGGTATACTTATGATTTAATTTTGATTTTCACAATATATGCTGGGTTTCTTTTCAAAGCCCCTACTGCTGGGATCAGCAACCTCCACAGCTTTCTGATTCTGAAACACACGCTACAAGTTTAGACCAAATCGAATCTCTGAGAAAAGATTAAGAGTGTGGTACAAGTGCATTATAAAGCCTGAAAAAGCAAAAGTTTTTTAAAAAAAAAAAAGAAAAAAGAAAAGAAAAAGATATTTGAGCTATTATTTTTTAATCTGAAGATTTCTGAGTTGTCATGGGAGTGGCTGAGTCATGCTTGCCAAATCCCCTGGACAGGCAACATTTCAGAAGAAGATTATAGCAAAGTGAGCAGAAGTTCACCCTTACCATTAACCCTCCTTCCTGCTCCAGAAGAACTGTGACACTTCATTTTATGTGGCCATTAGGATCTATCCAGAGACCACAAAATCCCTTCTAATTGCAAATCACCAAAGCACAAATTTTTAAGAGAAAATAAAATAGTTGCTTTGTGTATGGTTTGCATTATCTTATCAAGAAAAGTTATCTTCTGGGTCAAAAACCCCATATTTCTTTCTGAACAGAAAAGCTCTTCCAGAAAGACAAATGGTTAGAGTACTCTAAAAATCACATTTCTTCAATAGAGCTGCTTCAGTTTCATCTTGTAATGTGTTTAGAGGTGAACTGATCCTACATAGGAATCTAGCATTGCCTTGACTATCGCAAAGGAAATATTTAATGTGAAATTAAATCAGCATTTGTCTTTATTTCACCATGCAGGTACACTTCCTCCTGTGTCACTGATAGCAAGAAAACAAATGCGTGTTTGTGGGTACTTTAGCGAGGATGATGACTGATACTCTGGAAACACTGAAAGGTAGACATCCATAATGAAGCCTGCTGGCTGGCACGCGTGCCTGGTACTTACCACGCTGAGCCCCAGCAGTTCCCTGCAGAAGTAGTCCATGTTCCTCCTCTGGAGGTTGTCCAGGTAGTGCTGAAGGCGAGTGTAGGTGTAGGGGTAGCAGTAGGCAAACTGGTAAGTGTCGTCCTCTCGGTCGAAGCAAAAAGCAAAGGACATGACGTAGTTCTTCCTGTGGTCTGGGCAGCGGTAGTAATACACGTTTTTGGAGGGGATTCTTTGCCTGAGAAACAAACACATGCATGGAGATGGAGTAATTGGTGTGTACCTACACAGACACAAGAAATCAACTGAAAGGGCCGTGTGGGAGTCAGATTTCCTCCCAGGTAAATGAGTGGAACAGCTTGAACAGCTCAGGAGCTGGTGAGAAGATCCTGGTTTTGGGAGCACTTGTGACAGCCACTGTCACCACAGGGACTGCAGCCCTGCCTGGGTGCCCAAGCTGGCATTGTCACCACAGCAGGGAGAGCATCATACAACCAGGGAAAACCATCCCACAAAGTGAAACACCACACACAAAAGGTGTCCAAATATCCTCTGCTTCATTATCAGGCTGCTGCAACCCCACACCACTCGTAACTCAAACACCAGCCCCAGACAAACCTGCAGCCTTTCCTACAGGTTCAATTCACCAGCACAGAGATGACCAACAACTAATGAAGAAGGAATGTCAGTATAAGGCAACACTGAAAAAACTGTTAGTGAAATTCAGAACATCTTAATAGATAGATACATATATATATATAGAGATAGATATAGATATATTTATCCATGATAGTCAGGATACATATCAACATCTAGCCAATGAATGGAACAAAAGATAAATTCTTGAGGTTAAAAAATAAACAGTCAATCTAAAAATCACAGAAAACTTCAGGTATGGGAAATAACCAGGTCTTAAAATAGAAGAAAAAAGGAGAAAAGAGCATTTGTTCCCATTTCAAATTGGACTGCTGCCCCCCTCAACATTTCTCGTTTATCTGACAAGACAGAAATGAATATACATGATGGTAAATAATTATAATAAAGACATTTATGTCATTGTTATCAAGGTGGTATCTCTTTGAGGAATAACAAATATCTGTCTGCAATCTCTCATACAACTCCATTTTGTTACTTTTCAAGAGAAATAAGTAATATTTCAGAGGAGAAAAACTTATTCTGTGGATGAGAGATGTTCACTATTTCTGTTTTGTATGCTTTGTTCATTTCTTAGGTGGAATTTCTTCATTCAGACAGGAATAGTCTCCAATCATGCCATGCACTTGTAATTTGATGTAAGTAACTTACCACTCGTGTTTGGCAACAAAATGCCATGGTCCTGCAGACTCTACCTGATTCAATTACACAACCTTATAAACAGGTCTCATCTAATGATTGAAGCAGACCTCAGCTAAACTGGGATCATGGTGAGGGAAGAACATAACAAGATTTACAGACATAGCACCAGTAATGTGCCTCAATGCAATCATTCCGAGAAGCTGGTCAGATGCAGAGCCTCAGTTTTGGCCTCTCACTGTTAATATGTATTAGAGGACAAAACCCTTTCATTATACACAGGTACATGTTTGCCAATTAGCAGCAGTTAACAAGTCTGACCTGAGCAAGACTCAGGATCTACAAAGAGAAATGGACAGGAATTGAGATCTTCTTGAGAAAGTAAAATAAAGAACCAATGATTCTTTTAATTACACTCAGAAAAAGAATTTATCTGCCCTCTTTAATGCCCTGCTTCTTGAGCACTCAGGGCCTCAATAACTTCCTTCACCTTTGTGGCTGAGCAGGAGGCAGCTGTGCCCAGGTGGGCAGGATGGCACCTGGCTTGTGGCAGCCAGAGCGTGGCAGCAGGAGCAGGGCAGTGAGTGCCCGTCTGTGCCTGCACTGCTGAGGCTACACCTCAAATTTAGGTTGGTTTAAGAAATATTTCTTCAGTGAAAGGGCTGTCAGTGCTGGAAGAGGCTGTCCAGCCATGTGGTGGAGTCACCATTCCTGAAGGTATTTAAAGGATGTGTAGATGTGGCACCTGGGGATGTGTTTTAGGGGCAGCACTGGCAGTGCCAGGATAACAGTTGGACTCAAAGATATTAAAAGATATTTTCCAAACCGATGAAATCTATGATTTGATGATTTTTTTTGTTGTTAAATAAGACACTTGCTCATGGCAAAGATCTGGAAATCATATTTAACACACTAATATAAAAGACAGAAAAACAAAGCTTTTATTTTTTTAAAACAAGTATCAGTAGGGATAAAATGCCACCAGCCATCTGCATGCAGCACTCTTACCTAATAGTTTTCTTCAGTATCTTAACATATTTCTATCATTTGCCCTTACTCTGGAGTGCTATAGGACATCCCTCATTTGATCTCAAATCAAGCAGATGATATGGCAGTGGGTAAATGTATTCCAGCTCCCAGTCCTCAAACCGTAATGCAAGTTTAAACAGTATGTTGCTGAGTTGTTGAACTTTATTTGTTTCCAAATTAGCATGGGAAAAATAATAAAGGACAAGCCTCACTTTGTGCTATAAAAATTTCATGTAAAATGAGACCAATAGGAGGAAATTCAGGATTTTAGAAAGGCTAATGCTAATTGAAATTCATCTGCTGAGAGGTAATGTTTAAATGACACATAGTTCTCCTTAGTTCAATAACTTTCTACTTTTAAGCAAGTTGAAGACAACTTTGTTAATGTATTAAAGGCACTTTTGATATTTCATTCCCTTTCCCCTTCATTATAAAAGCTAAGCATCTGTTTTATTATCCACTTTGACACATCACTTTATGGCTGCATTTGGCTATTATGGCTAATCTTGATGTCTAGGACATCTGGTATTGACATTTCACTATCTGGTGTCTGACACAACAGCAGAAACCATCCTCGGTTCCTAGGTTTAAATTCACCCTCTCAGGGCAAAAAGTGCCCAAACTCTTAATTCAAACCATATCTTCCAAAAATAATTATAATAGTACTCCTGTCACTGCTAATCTATTTTTATCTCTCCTAGCACTTTGTCACTGCTAATCTATTTGTGAGTCATATAGAGAAAGAGAGTTAGCGTTTAGATACCAACAACACATCTTTACACACAGGAGCTTAATCAGATTGAGATCTTATCAGGGAATTAAAGAAGAAAAGAAAAAAGGGAAAGAAAAGGAAAGAAAAGAGACAAAGTGCTAGATATCACCAACTGAGTTTTTGATAACGAAAAGACATTGCTCAGTTCTTGAATTAACCTTTGTGTCCTAGACACACTATTGTTTACTCTTTCCCTTTTTTGTTCTATGCCTTCTGGAAAAGGACACCCACACACTGTGGCAGCAGCTGCTCCTATTAATTTAAAGCTATTACAAAAATTAAAATTAAACCCAATTACTTTGGCTGGTTTATAGCTGGGGAACGGCTTAGTCTGATTGTTCCCTCTGGTTATGGACAAAAACAATATTCCTACCTACAGGCAGCTGCCAGTGGAATACTAATGCATCTAGGGCCTGGCAGGAACAGATTCAGAATGCAGAGTCTAACTGCATTTCTTACTAAAGAAAAATATCTTATCACGCATCTGCAGAAATGCACCAACTTCTTACGCTGTGAGTCACAATGAAGCTGATTTGTAGTGAGAGGCAGGAAGGCAAAATGATGGTGGAAACTTCAATGCTCTGATTTGCCCCTTTGCATTTCCAGGCAGCTCACACTCAGCAATGCATCCTGCTAATTGATACACACCTGCCCACACCTCTGAGCTCCTCAATTTAAAGGAGAGCCACCTCCATTCCAAATACAGCCACAGGGAATAATGCAAAACAACTAATTTCCACTCTCTTTTCTAGATGCTTTTAAAGAAATGAAGCTTGATATTATACATCAGTTTGACACAAATTCAGAATGCCTAGTCTTAAACACAAAACTTTCTGTTCCAGGAAGAAAGAACACAGAAATGGAGAGTTTCTCTCTATTTTGATGCTAGTAGTCCACTGCCAAATTTTTGAGCCATTGAGTGTCTTCTCCTCCGATCTGACAGGGCAGCATTCCCATCCCAGTGGATCAGTGCTCCAATGTGCTCACCAGTTCCTGTCTGTTTGCTGCAGTGCAGTCTGGAGTCAGGACATTTGTTCTGTTTTGGTAGTGTGCAATAGGACCAAATTTGTAAGTGTACAAAAAATAAAAATTAAAATTCTAGTCTTTTATCTGGTATCAAAAACCTCTTGACTTTAGAGTCCCCAAGATTTTCCTCCTTTGTACTACAAGAAGCAGTAAGGGGTATAATTCAGAACTTCAAAACCTTTATCCTAACTATACTTCTAATTTGAACATTTTAACTTCAACTCTAAGAATTTTGACTTTAAAATCAAACTTTATTATCTATAATTTTTTTCCTTTATTTTTTCTTTTCTTTTTTTCTTTTCTGCTACTTTCTGTTTATTTCCATTTGAAAATTTGGAGTTAATCGATGCTTTGGAGGACAAACACCAGGGATATTGGTGGTACTGCTTTGTGGCATCTGAGTTTTAAATATAGAAGGGTGCTAATCAAACCCTCTTGTGGCACCACAGCAGAAGTAATTACAAAATAACAATTTTTGGAACGCTTTCCTCTCCCTATTGCATGACCAAAGCAGGGAGCTCTGGCCCAGCCAAATTCCCAATGACTTTAATGAGCAGCATAAATAGTCTTTGGACTGCTTTTAATATGGCACTCATAAAGTAATTATTCAGTTCCTTGCCTCCACAGGATCGGGTTAGACATATCACAGTCAGCAGACTTCAAAGTAAAATGATGATCTTTGGAGGAAAAACAAAAAGCTGCAGGTGCTGTAAAAAAATCGATGGCCAAAAGAAAAATTACGGGATCTGACTTGTAGAGAGAAATGCTCAAGTTGTGGTGCAGTGTTAGCTGTGGTGACACACTGTGGTGATCATTTTTAATTGCCATCCATTTGCACAGCTAGGGATACTACTTAACAAATTTACAAATTCCCAGACCTGCCTATAGAACTCAAAGGGGTGGGCCTGAGTCACAATCTCAAACAAAATTACACTGACCCAAACCCTGATTCTGATTCAACTTTGAAAAATAACCTCCAGGTATTTACTGATGTCCTAAATACTAGATTTGGCTCCTTCTGAGTGCTCAAATTTTACTCCTAAAGCTGGATGTCCCCAGTTATTAACTGCAAGAAATCCAACCAACTCTGGACAAAATCTAAGGATGTAAATCATGTG